ACAGAAGCTGGTAACCCTTGTGGTTGAACTAGGGGAAAGCTGGAAGAAGCTGAGGAGGAGAGCGACCCTATAGGAAGACCGGCAGTCTCAACTAATCTAGACCCCTGAGATCTCTCAGACACTGAGCCACCAACAGCCAGCATACACCAGTTGATATGAGGCCCCAACACATATACAGCAGAGGACTGTCTGGTCTGGATTCAAGTGTGAGAAGATGCACCTAACTTTGAAAAGACTTGAGGCCCCAGGGAGTGGAAAGGTCTGTTGGGGTGGGGACATCCTCTTGGAGATGGGGAGTGGGGGTCAGGGGAGAGGTATGGGATGAAAAACTGTCAAAGGGCAGACCAGGAGGAGAATAAAGAATTAATAAAGATTAAAGAATAAAAATTTAAAACAAAAGATTTTTATGAGTATTTGGCCGGCATGAAAGTATACTTGCATGCTGGCACCCTCAGGCCAGAAAAGGGCATTAAATTCCCCTAGAACTGGAGTTACAGCCATGTGGGCTCTGGAAAATGAACTTGGATCAAGAACATTTACAAGAACAGTAAATGTTCTTAACCACTGAACCACCCCTCCAGTCCTCATGCCTGATTCTTCAAGGCAAATATGAAACACAAACAAGAAGAAGGGAAGTGGTGAGCCAATCAAAAGAAATCCATGTTAAGGATACTTTAGGCTTACTAGATTTATGTCTATTAAGGGTCTTTATTGCTGTGATAAACACCATGACCAAAAGCAAGTTGGAGAGGGAAGGGTTTATTTCCTCAGCATTACACCTCTGCACTACAGTCTATCATTAAATGAAGTCATAATAGGAACTCAAGGCAGAGAACTGGAGGCAGGAACTAAAACAAAGGCCATGTTGCTTCCTAGGTTACTTTTCATGGTTTGCTCAGCCTTTGCTAAAAAGTCAGCAGCATCAGCCTAGGTGTGGTAAGCTCAGCCATACCACTTCATTAATCAAGACCATACCCCACAGACTGGCCTATGAGCCTGATTTTATAGAGATATTTATTTTCTCAATTAAGATTCCCTTTCCCCAGACATGTCTAGATTTGTGACAAGTTGACAAAAATCAACCAGTACAATATGGGGTCAAAAATATTCCATGAAAACCTGTACTTCTAAAGCTAGGAAATAAAACCCCAGAATACATTTCTCTGTTGGTTTTTAAGCTGCTGTTAATAGTCGTAAAGACTGAATAAACTACTGACACTGAGAAATATGAAAATATCAAGTGTTGGAGAAACACCTCGGCAAACCAGGTGGTTGGAACTGAATATTTCTTCTAAAAAACATTGTTACTTTGCACCAGAAGGTGTCAATGAAATAGCTGTTTTCAAGTATGAAACAAGCCACTAAGTAGCCTCTAAAATCAAGCCTTAAGATAAACTTACCTTAGAACCAAAACATCGAGATCATTGCATAAAGTAACAAAAGGAGAAGTTTCAGAAATAAGACATTTTTAGGGGCTGGACCTGTAGTTCAGTCGTTCACAGCACTACATTAAAAAAAAAAAAAACTGTATCTTTAAAAACGTAAATCTTTACATGTAACTTAGTGCATTTTTATTTGCAAGTTTTGAAATAATAAAGTGTGCTGGCTAATTTTGTGTCAACTCAACACAGACTAGTCATTTAGGAGATGGAAACCTCAATTAAAAAAATGGCTCCATAGGGGCTGGAGAGATAGTTTAGCAGTTAAGAGCATTGGCTGCTTGCTCTTCCAGAGGTCCTGAGTTCAATTCTGAGCAACCACATGGTGGCTCACATCCATCTGTAATGGGATCTGATGCCCTCTTCTGGTGTGTCTGAAGACAGCTACAGTGTACTTATATAAATGAAATAAATCTTTTTTTTTTTCTTTAAAAAAAAAGAAGGGGAGGGGAGAAAATGTCCCCATAAGATGGGGCTGAAAGCAAACCTTAGTGATTGGGTGAGAGCCCAGCCTATTGTGGGTGGACATCCCTGAGTTGTTGGTCCTATGTTCTAATGTTCTAGACTAATGGTTTAGGTCCAGTAAGTATAACACTTCCATGGTCTCTGCATGAACTCCTGCCTCTGGGTTCCTGCCCTGGAGACTTCCTTCAATGAATTATAATTTGGAAGTGTATGGCAAATAAACCCTTTCCTCAATTGTTGTGTAACTTTTTCTGAGGAGAGGCACCAGATAGGGATCCCAACACAGACCAACATATGGATACCACCAAAGTTCAACTTGTTGAACTAGTGAGATTTGAGTTACTTAAAGGATCAGAAAGGATCAAAGATAGCTGCATGACCAAGACCCGTTCCAACATGGGTGACAGCTCACAAAATCTGGGAAACATGGAGGACACTGCACAGCCTGCAGGCAGCTCAACAGGCTGGAGAGTGTAATTTCCAAGTGACTCTTGTCTAAACCTCTTCTAGGCAACTGAACTGGTTTCTACTTCTTCCAGGCAGCTGGTTGGGTCAGAGTCATTGTTTAACTTAGCTCAGATTACAAATCTTTGTAGTTTAGCACTTTGCTCTTAAGCAGGACTCTCAGCTTTTGTTTACTGACGTAGGAGACTTCAGTATAGGAGATGTAGGTGGGAGAATCTGGTCAATTCTAGGGACTTCCTAAAGGTATTTATTTATTTATTTATTTATTTATTTATTTATTTATTTATTTAGAGAGCTTCCCTGCAGGATGGAATGGTTTTGTTGTTTTTGGGTCTCTGCTCCAATTGTTTCCCACCCCACCCCCACCCCCATCCCTGCCCAGAGACAGGATTTCTCTGTCCTGGAATTTGCTTTGTAGATTAGGCTGGCCTCAGACTCAGAGATCCGCCTGCCTCTGATGGTATTAAAAGCTCCAAGAAAACATGTTATACAACTCCAACCAGCTTTTTGGTCATGGCGTTTCATCATACCAATGCCCCCCAACTAAAGACATAAAGTTTATATTACGTATATGTGCCCAAATGCATTCTCAGGAACACATGCAACAGCTCAAAGTCATCAGGGGACAATCCTGGGTGTGGCTCCTTGTCTTCCATCTTTTTTGAGACATGGTCTCTGTTTACCAGGGCAATGCCAGGCTAACTGGCCATCAAGCTTCCAGATATTCTGTCCCTACCTCCCATCTTGCTGTAGGAATGCGAGCTAGCAGACAGTATTCATGGTCTTTAGGATTCAAACTTTGGTCTTCACACATACATAGCAAACTCTATGATGGGACTGGGTGACCTCCCCAGCCCCAAATCATCTTCCAATTGCACGACTTTTACTTAAAAACCTTTCCGCCTATTCTTTTAATCCTAGCACTTAGGAGGCAGTGGCAGGTACATCTCTGAATCTGAAGCCAACCTGGTTTACAGAGTGAGTTCTAGGACAGCTAGGGTATACACAGAGAAATCCTGTCTCAAGAAACAACAAATAAAAAAGGGAAAAAAAGCATTTTTTTTAAAGTAGGGAAGTTTTAAAAGATACAAATTCTACCCAAAATAGTTTAAAATGTCTTCTCTTTTCTGTCTTAGTATTAGTATATTACACATTTAAATAATTTGGGGCAGGATAGATGGCTCTGCATTGAGTGCATACTCCTTTTACAGAGGCCCTGGGTTTGGTTCCCAGCACACCCATCAACTCATAACTGTAACTCTAGTTTAGTGGTTCACAACCTTCCAAAAGCTGCCATCTGTTAATGCAGTTCATGTTATGGTGACCCAAACTATAAAATCATTTTCATTGTTATATAATAATTATAATTTTGCTACTGTTATGAATCAAATATCTGATAGGGAGGATTTCTAATATGCCACCCCTGTTAAAAGGTCATTTGACCCCTAGCAACCCACAGGTTCAGAACTGATGCCCTAGTTCTAGATTAGTGGTTTTCTTCTGGCCTCTGTATGCACATGGTACATATAAATTCATGCAGACCACACACATAGATTAAAAATTTTTAAATGTATCCATAAGGACAGACACTGAACACTCCACAAAGCACAAAGACAGATGACACATCTACAGCACTTGTGTCTCATAACTGTCCTTAAAAGAAACTTCTCAGTTCCTGGAGATAGGGAGTTATTCTGACTTTTTTAAGCTATGCTTTTAAATTTAATTTTTAGTCTAACTGGGCTTTCTTTTGATGAATGGGGTGATAGCAATCAACTTGATTTTCTCCAACAGTTTTCAATGAACAATTCCTCGTGGCCAGAATAACTATTAAAAGCCATTGTTAATGTATGCCTTCATTCCTAATTTTACCCATTTCCCATTAACCCAGCTATGTTTATACCATTATAACTGCTTTAAATTTAGTAACACTTCTGAAAAATGTGATGTATCTTTTTGGTACAGCAAGTTCCTTCTATTTTTTCTTCTTTCAATAGTATTTTCCTATTTTCATCTGTCTACACTTATATATGAGGTTTTAAATTATATTACAGCAAGTCTTTTGGTCTTTGGACCAGACTCACATATTAATCCAAAAGGAAATGAGATGTTTACAACAGTCAAAATGTTATCAAATGCTTGTAAGATTCTAGGTTCCTCCACCAAGGAAATCATGTACATTATATATGCCTATAGCAAATGTGTGCACTCACACTATGTATGCCCAAAGCACACTGTATACACACACCATGTATGCCTATAGTACATGTGCAACACTGTATCTATAGTACATTCATGCCTATACACTATACACTGTATCTACAGTATGTATACATACATACTATATCACCTACAGCATGCTTAGAATCACCTATAGTACATTCATAATATGTACTATATGCCTATAGTACACAAGCTATAGACACCCATAGTATATGTGTATCAACATACTATCATGCCTAAAGCACATGTAAAACAGTTTTGTAGTCATTGATATAGAGGTTAAGGCTGACTGTGTCTGAGTTGTAGCTACCATGTTACAGAGCACCCTGTAAGTGGAACTGAATGTCATGTTACAACAATAAACCAGGTATCAAGCCCAGAGACCCTGCACAAAACTTAAAAAGCCAGTTTAATGACATCTGTACAAGTTTTATTCTTCATTAACCACAATACTTTAGAGTGAGAATATATATACCTAATACAGAGGAGTGATTCAAAATCCACCATGTTTATAAGGAGAGCCCAGGCCAGCAGCTTTGTACTCCAGCTCAGGAAGTGCTTCAGTCATGTTCTGTAAATAAGTGGCAAAGGACAGTGCCAGATTTGCCATGTCTTATGACAAATGTCAGGAGAATAGACAGCAATGTTTCATTTGTTCTGCTATGCTAGTGGGTAGAAAACTCCTTTAGCCTGCTCATGATCTCCTAATTTTGTATAAGCATTTGTTTAAGCCAATTTCCCAGGACTTGATGTTTAAATAATTTCTCTGAAAATCCAGGGCTGTAATATTGACATATAAGACTATGAAGAACCAAGAGCACTGCCACCTTTAGGAGAACATCCAGTCTTACTGAATTTAGTAGTCACAATATGTAAATATGTAAGAACAAATACAAAATACAAATCGCTCAACTCTTACCCCTAGTGCCATGCTGCCGACCTTCCCAGAGGTATAATCCAGCAGCACCCTTCTAACAATGGAATCAAGCCTAAAATGGAGATCTTCATGGCAGAGATTGGTCCTGCACTCAGGGGTCAGACCCATCACTAGCTCTAGGAGGTTTATGTTAAGGTCTCAGCTAGTGCAGGAGGGAGGAGGCAGTGACTGCAGCTAAGCAGCAGGGGACCAGAGAGGGAGCATTTCCTTTGGGAAAGAACAAACACCTCCTTCCAAATATTCTAGGGATCAGAAACCAAGAAAAATTTCTATGTGGTAATGAAAAGCACAAGAGAGCCATTTCTCTATGAACCCCTATGATTTCTGCTTGAACTTCTGGTAAAAATGAACATTTTGCACAGTATTACGAAAAGCAGTAATCAACAGAAAAAGTGGATACTTCTTTCAGATGTCACTTAAGGGTATCACATTCCAACCTTGAATTTTAATATCCCCCTAAGAGACCTACACTAGGATAAAAGCAAACAATATTCCAAGCTAAAAGCTAAAGAACACACACTATTAAAAACCAAACTCTAACAGATGGATTGCTAATGCACGGTTTTTGTTTTGCTTTTTAGTCGTTTCTTATTATCTCAGATTAGTGCATATTCATTGAATAATGCTTCATTTAAATGATAGCTGCTTAATAAACAGTTGAATCTTAGCTCAAGGGCAATTCTTCTTACATATTAACCATGTTAATAATTACTGTGAGAGGGGAAACAGAAAAGAAAAAAACAAAAAAACCATAGCCCCAATATGCCAACAAAATCTGGAAGGTTGGTTACTCTGGTTATAGGGATAACTCTACGTGCTCCTCTTCCCATTAACTGCAGAAACCAGTTTTGTTTGCAAGCTCACTATGACCTCTGCTAGTAGGTCTATGAACCCTCTTGTGCTGATAACTTTAGATGCTATTTGGTCTATACAGAGTATATTAAGCTGAGTATGGAAACTGTTCCTGAGGAATCATTCATGTGTGCAAATCTGCAACCTGACAAAGTAAACGACAAGGGGGCAGTAGCTAGACAGGACTGAGCAATAGAGACATACACAGTGTCATGACCAGGGACATCCATCCTCTGCAGTCTCACCTACACACATACCAACTTCACTCTAGACAAAAAGAGGAATGAGTGACCTGTAATAAAAGACTTTAAGAAGTTTTAGTAATGCACAGTCATTACTAGTTGTGCATGCAAGTCAGAGTTTCTTCTTACTAACCCTGCCTAGCAACTATTAGGCAAGTCAGAGCACTAAATTTTACTTTCTGCCCCCAAGAAAATAATTTCTGTCAGGTCAGAGTGTAGTTATGACAGCAGGTCACCAGATAACTTAGTTATACTCAAGTGTAAGGTCAACCTTTAAAATGAGCACTGTCTCTCAACACCAACATCTGTTTGCTTTTTCAAGCCATTGACGACCCTCCTGGCTTTTTTTTTTTTTTAAGGCCTACTTTTAGCAAATGTACACACTAGCCATTTAGCCAAATCAAGTGTATTGCAGTGACTAACTGATCTACACAATTTGACCTTTAAGGATCTGACTGAGAAAGCAGCCCTCAGCAGGGGTAGAAAATTGTACTAGCAAAAATACAAGTACACATGAAAAGAAAGTACTTTCAGAATTACAAAATGAGAGGGAACAGATTTTATTTCCTCGTAGTTGGAGACTAAGACTTCTGTAAAGATTTCAATTAACAAGAAGTGTCAATTTCACCTGAAGTTTTACAAACTGTAAAGCCTTCTTAACCACCAGGATACATCCATCAGGAGCACACTCACTTTCCCCGTCTTTCAGTACCAGCACAGTGATACCCAGCTTTGACTCAGAGAATGAGAATTTTACAGGCTTTCCTCTGCCTATTTTGTGCTAACACAGAATTAATGTGACTATTTCTCCATTAATTTACTAACACAAAAGCACCCACTTTAATGCCAATATATTTAATATAATGCTTTTATATAGGGAAAGTTCTTTTGGAGAAAAAGAAGAGCACTCTCTCCCGGACAAACCACTAACCTATTACGTTTCAAGAAATGTTCCAACTTTGCTATTGTCAAAAATATTAAAGCTGTGTAGAAGAAACCAGTTCCAAATGATATTTACAACTCTGTGGTAAGCATTCCATCAGAAAAGTAAACAGGGCTTTTTGATAAAATGAAAAATTTTCCCTCCACATTAGAGCAGAAAAAGCTATGCAGACCATAATAAGAGTCCACTTGTCCCTAACTCAAGTTCTTCAATATAACCCAAATGGAATGAAGCCAATTAAACCCCCATAAACTCTACCAACTGCAGACAAGTACCTGAAAGAATCAAGCTGTTAGCTCTTAACTATTCCTCCCCTGGAACATAGTTTACAAACAGGACTGCTACTGGGTAATGTTCTTGTCCCTGGTGTTCCACTTCTAACTCTGTTGCCCACTGAGTTGGTAGCAGTAGCTTGGGGGCATTCTCTGAATGGTCAGCATCACTGCCAGATGGAGCCTGGTAGCACAAAGCCAATGTTCACTTCACATTCAAGCAAATTTGAGGAGAAAAATACTTTTCCCTTGTCTATCTAGTTTTCTTTATTAATGAAACACAACTAGATAAGCTTCAGACTTTTGTGAAGAACTAAAGAGCACTGTTGGTGTAGTGAAACAGGTAACACAGCTTTACCACAGCTGAAAGGAGCCTTCAAACAACAGCGCAAACTCTCCCTGTTGCAAATATCAAACATGATGTTTACAAGATGCAGGGTGGAGCCGACCTTTTATACGTACTAAATACACCCATTAAAATGAGATGGACCAAAAACTATTCACCATACTTGGGTTTAAAAACTATTCATCTCAAGAGGGAACTCAGGGAGCAGCCCCCACTGTTGGGTAATCTCTACAGTATCACAGCCTGAAACCAGGGAGGGCTCCACCCTACTGGAGGCTGAGATCAGGGGATAGCAGAATGGAAACCACTCAGTAAGAGTTGGTCACCATGAGAGCTGAGACAGCAGGGTGAATTCTGACTAGCCTCTAGTGCTTCCATTTTCTCAATCAGGTTCTGCTACAAACATAAAGCCATACCAGAGGCTTTGGTGGGCCAGTTCAAGATATCAACTTCTCTGGGAAGCATTGTGAGATTGATGACATGGTCACATAGCTGCAAAGTGCACAAAGCTCAAGGCACACAGTTGAAAACGGGAATTGATAGGGAAAGTAATAGTGAAAGCAGTTGTTAGCATTTTCCTCCACAAGACTAATTGCTAAACATGGACCAATCTGAATTTAAAACAGATTGTTTGGGGCATGGGTGAAAACACTGTATTGTAACATCTGCTTAGTTTTAAGCAGAGATATCTTGACATGAGACACCATGTTTCAAGTCCACAAATGAACAAGACAAGTGCTTTTTAAAAAATTCTTTCTTTCTTGTATTTCTGGAGGAAGCTGATTCAAATGTTGAGCTTCACTTTAGCAATGGCCTCTCTCCAAGACACTTGCTCTGTAGATTATAAGATTGTCCCATTTCAAAATCACCCCCCAGTCTAGCAGCAATTGTTTTTGTTAGTTCTTGTTTTTAAAAACTGAAAATCAAAGAAAGAAGTCTGGTATCCTCTCTGAGAACAGCCTTTGACAGAGCTCCTGAGTGGTGCAGGCCCCACTGTGCCTGGAACAGTTTCTGTAGCTCCAGTGTGTCTTTTCTTGGGAGAAACGTAGTTCAACAGTCACTATCTATATCCCCTGGAACTTGCACAAGCGGATGGACTGTCTGAAAAAAGGTCAGAAGAAGAAAAACTGTGAAGGACAGAGAGCATTCTGTACATGCAAGTCCATTTTCCTCCTGATCTCTATCCCCTCCCCTAGTGTGTTTATTTTAAAAACTTTGAAAAACAACACAATTCTGAGAAATGTGAAAATGAACCAATACCCCATACCCCCAGGAACTGATCTTGGGGCATTACCTCACTCCTGAGTATGATAAAGAATCTGGTGGTCTCTTGGCACCTGCTTAAGCCCAAGGCCCAAATGACCCCAACTCCACATGCAAAGCTTGCCAGCTAGACTATACCCCTACCCACATGGTCTCCATACTCATCCCTAGAAACTGGCCCACATCACAAACCCATCAAAACAATTAAAGCATTATCACTTACTATAAGCCAACTCATCTCCAGCTCTCTTCCGGGACTGGTCACCTCTGGTGATAAGAAAAGAGGAAGCAGTCAACAAAAGTGACTGGTTTCTTTACACACAAAACCAGCAGAAATAAACTGATGTACGTGATGGTACAAACAGCAAATGCTTAAGGTTCTAACCCAACAACCTGTTTAAATACACTGAACATCAACTGAGTCTTTTACCCTGAGTATTGTTAGCTCAAGGGCATATATAGTCTGTTAAATATATGAAGTTATTAGGTGAAGGATCATCTATAAAGATGGTTTGCACTGACTACTAGGAACAGGTGCAAGCTAACATGTTTTTGAAAACAACTCAGGATTCTGAACCAACATCCCTAGTAACCTGCATGAACTAGCAAAACTTTAAATAACAAACAGAAGTTAAAAATCTTCCCCTCAAGCCCCAAACTGAGACTTTGAGAGTCTCAAAGCCTTTGGAAGTGCTAATCTATGGTGCTTGAAGACCTTTGTGGTGGAAAACACAAATCTTCAGATATGATACCCAGCCTACCAGCAGTCAAGTCCTGAACTACAGTTAAGAGTGGTTGTGAATGGGCTATATGTCTCCCACAAATCACACTTCTGGCTTCCCAGACACTAACCCAGACTCCAATGAGTAGTAATGGCACCAGTTCCTTGTCAATCAACCAAGGGTGCAACTCATCCCATCTTTCCTGAACCCTTTTCTTAGCTTCTTCTGAGCTTTCTCCTTCCCATTGTTGTTGGCTCTGTTGAATAATGTCACAAGCCACTTTTTCTTCTCCATATACATTCTTCCCTCTTTTCTAAGATGCAGAGCATACCAGCTCTGTGGCTCCCAGATTTATCGGCAGCTCTGATTTCTGAGACCTGAAGGTCCGGCATCTTCTTCATTAGACACATAAATAAAATTTACCACATCCACAATATAATGTGTGTTCAGCTCCATCCCCAAACTGTCTTCAGGCTTCCTATTATAAGAGCAATAGTGAACATACATTGTATGTATGTATGTATGTATGTATGTATGTATGTATAAATGAGATACTTCACAGATCTGATTAAAACTCATCATAGCTTTCCACTAGTTCAAAATCAATTCTAATTCATTTCCCAGTCCTGTGTCACGGCTCTGGCCTGTCTTTCCCACCTCATTTTCCAGCTTGCTTTAGGGCCGGTGATCTTTTTCTGTTTAACACTCTCTTCCCAAGGCAGTCACATAGCTGTCTCTTTCTCCTCCCTTCAGCTCAGTTATCCTCTTGAAGGCCAATACCACATCACTGACAACTCCAACCCTACCTCATTCTCTAATTCTCTTTACAGCATTTTTTTTTACTTGAAATTAAATGTGTTTTTGCAAGTTTATTATTTGTTTGCCAACAGTATTGCATAGTAAGTACACGAAAGTGAGTACTTTGCCTTTCTTGATCACCCTGGTACCTCAGTGTCTAGCACATAAGAGAATTAACAAACTTGTCAATAATTCATAATCTCAAATGATTACTAAAATGCTGACCTGAGCATCCCACACTTCAACTATCAAACAAGAAAACAGTATCTGATTACTACACCAATGATAATTTTAAAATAACTTTCCAGATAGAATACCTGGAAAAGTTCACTCTTTCCTTCTCTCATATTAGGACAGACATCTCTTGCTAGGCTAAGGATCCTTGATGGCTGGCAGGAAAACTATATTACATGACTGAGAAGTATGGGATTCTTTACAATGAACATCTAGAAAAAAAATTTCATTGTGTTTTCCAGGAATAGCCCTGAAAAGCCTAAAAAGAAGATATCCAACTTTGTGACCTACCAAAGCCAGACAAGCAACTTACATGGTTATAAATGCTGATTAAAATCAAAGATACATAGTTTTATGTCTGGAACCTCTACTTCTAAACAAAGCATCCATTCCTACCTTCTCACTGGATAAGTAACAGGCTGAAATGCAGATGCGAAAACAGCAGGCAGAACAAAGTAACTGATGTAGATGCCAAAGATAATACCTGATTTGTGAAGTCTACCAGTTGTACACTGTCTTCTGCTATGAAACAAAAAAGCCCACATTCAGGAGCCACCATCTTGACTCAAACACAGCAGTATCTTTACAAAGTTCTACTGTACTCCAGAAACCAAGGACACCACTTCTCAGATGAAATATTTTATATGTGAGGTGTTTGTCAGGACTTGGAAAACTAGCCTTATGGCACATTCTAGCATAGCTTCGAACACTGGTGAAATAAAACTTAAAAATAAGCAATAAAAGTGTTACTGGACAGTCTATGTGTTTTGAGTTTCTCTCCCCTTTCACATTAGTGAACCTAACTTTTCTCTAAAATAATCCTAGCTAGCTAATGACTAACAAAAACATTAGAGTGACAGAGCATTAAATAGAAGATCAAGCAGAGAGGCTTTCTACAGAGCTGAGCATGGCAGTCCTTTCTGATAGGTGGTTAAGCAAGCCTAAAGAATGAGTCCTAGGAAGTTACCTTTGGCAGGGCCTATTCTGATCAAAGAACCTGTGAGAACTATTTATAAGGCAGAGTTTAATCCTCACAGTAAATGTGTGTTGGGGTGACCTCCCTTACATTCTTATGGTGTGTGTCTGTTTTTTTCAATTGTTGATTACTATAAGGGCAGAGAGCTAAGTGCTGACACTGTTTTGGTATTATCATTTCTATATAGTCCTTCCCCACCTTCCCAAAACATGAAGGTCAGGCAGTTCCTCATTGCCTAAAGGCAACCTAAGAGATTTCTGGCAATGTCATACTGCTGACTGATTATAATAAAGGACAGCCAGTAGCTGGGATAGAAAATAAAGGGACAGAACTTCTGGGAACAGAACAGGGAGCAGGGAGTGCCAAGCCACAGTGCTAGAATAGTCAGGTTAAGTTTACACAATAGCTGGAGACTGCCTTAGTATAAGGCCATACACTTCAAACTATGTTAGAAGCCTCAGTGTCATTATTGAAATGCTGGCAGGTCAGCTAGGTCCTGCAGTAGATGTGCAATAGGGTGTTAACTATAAAACTGGCTTAAGTCTGTGATAGACATTACAATTTTATTACATCTTGGAATATTACCTAATTTTTTTAAAACAGCTTCAAGAATCTCACTATGAGCAATTAAAATTCTAATTTACAGCAAAATCCAAAATAGCTCCCTCACCCTGTTGGCCCTGGCAGCACGCTACTACAGTGGTCCATTTAAAGCAAAAGAAATACTACCTGATGGTGTCCAGAGTCAGCTACTCATCTCTTCCCAACCCAAGTCTGACAGAGCCATATACCCAGCAGCTCCATACCCTGTTCACTTGTTCTAGTCTCCAAAATGGGGCTAGGAGATGCCTCTGGATGAACCACAAGGGCTCAGTAGTGGCCATGAAAAGCATATGCAAAATGGCAGCATTAATCACATTCCCAATTGTATCTACATTTGACCCAGCCAAGCTATTTCTGAGATACACATCCAACAAGTACTGAATAAGGCATATTTTTGCTTCTCCACTGCAGCTCTGTTCGTCTGTATTACCAAAAAACCTATTTGGGGTCTAGTTAAGTACCTTGTTAAGTAAATAAAATGTCTAATAGTCTAAACTGACACACAGTCAATACTGGGGGTTGGGGGGAGAATAAATATGAGGGAATGCTTAAATGTTTCCTTATGTCTATAATTGAAAAAAAAAACTAGAATTAAAAAAAAATCTAATAATAATGGTTACTTAATCTATTGAGGTAGACAAGTAGAAATAAAAATTACTGTTTATTCTTATATTATTTAAAGATAAATATGGGTAGAAGAAATTCCTGAGGCAGTTGATGGATGCTAGGGGAGGCAAAGTCACTTTGGGGGTTGGGGGGTAGGAGGGTGGAGGGGTAGGAGGTGCTGCTAGAAGGTTGCTGACACCCCAGGAGGTAACCCTACATGTCCATGTACACATAGACAGCACTAACTAGATTCTGAGTTATTAAAACAAAACAAAAAGGCAAAGAGGACATGAAGTTGGAAGGAAGAAATACTGAGAAGTTGGCAGATTATGGGGAGATGGCTATGATTAAGATGCATTAAAGACAGCCATGAAATTGTTAAAAATATAGCAGTCAAGGCCTGTACATAATACTCTAGTTAACAATATTGGGAGATACAGGATTCCTCAATCTCAAAGAGAAAAGCCATCTACTCACATCTGAAACACATCCCTCTGCACTGACAGTTCTGGTATAAGCTGTTAGGGAGGGAAGTGAATGGTCAGTAGACTTCTCAGCACTTCTACTACCTCAAGACTACAAGATGTTACCATGACAAAAAAAAAAAAGGTGGGGGGGCAATAAAGTCTAATCTGTGGACCAACAAAGAACACCAGACAACAATTACAGAACTCCCTTTTTTTAACCAAAATAGATTAAGTGACCCAGAAAAAGGCTGATTTTTTTTGGGGGGGGGGTTGTTTTTATGGTTTTTCATTCCCCTGAAATTCAGTTTGCCCTCAGAATTGTTTAGAAGAATGTTTATCCCTGTCTTTTCTATGAATTTCCTCAATATTAAGTATTCAGATACCAGAAGATAGGTAAAATAGAAGTTACTAGTGTATCCTTGAACAATTGATTTCCTGACTTTTGTATTAATTCATTTTAATATAAATATTAAAACAGGCCGGGCAGTAGTGGTGCACACCTTTAATCCCAGTACTTGGGAGGCAGAGACAGGCAGATTTCTGAGTTTGAGGCCAGCCTGGTCTACAGAGTGAGTTCCAGGACAGCCTGGGCTATACAGAGAAACACTGTCTCGAAAAGCAAAAAAATATTAAACCAAAAAAAAAAAAGGAAAGAAAAAAGAACTGTACTTTTCCAGATTTTTCTGGGGTATGGGCATAATAAGGAATTACAAACATTTTAGAAAAATAAAACATTTACACCAAAAACAAAGGAAACAAACTTTCTGAACATTTATAAAGAGAGATACTCTACTTTTAAAGAACACTTAGATTTAGAGAAAACATGAAAGACAGTTTAGTGGGAAAATGTATAGTAATTCATTGTAATGCTTCAGTAATGTTTTTGTTGTCCTCAGGATTAATGTTACAAATTCCAAACTGGAAGAGCCTCATCAGTCTAACTGCCCTTTCTCCAAAATCCACACAGAAACAAGCAGCTTCCACCACAGGAAGGAGCCTGCAGCCCCAGCTCTGCTCTCAGCAACTCCTCTGCCCAAGACGCTCAGCAGCAGCAGGCCAGGCTAGAAGCCTAGAGAAATGGGAAAGTATCACTAAGGAAAAGCCAACTTGCCTGGTAAAACCGTTCTGTATAAGTTCTCTTTGAAGTTTTTGATCCTGGGCAGCATACTCAGAAAGTTCAGATTCCATAGCCGGGGGCAGAATGTTTGGAATAAACTTAGAAAACAATGTCGGAGCCATCTGAACCCATTCTGTCAAGGAAAAAAATGATTCATCAAGGAAATAATTTAAATAAAACAAGCAAGTTTCTTATTTAAAATAGCAAAAAATTATATTAAACCAAATAATAAAACCTAGTATACACCTCTTTTGGTGAACATACAAAGATACGTATTTTTGTATATATTATACAAAATTATATATAAAATTATAAAATGAACATTTTTACATTATTGATTCAAGAAAATTGAATCTGTAACTTTTTAGTAAATATTATTTAAAAAATTCTAAAGATGTAGGCAAACATAAATGAGATGACTAGGCAATTCCAAGTGAAGAAGGTGTGAAGAGGAACAGCCTTACAGCAACCCCAGCTCTAGGGGCTCACTAATCAAAGCAACAAAGCCCAGACCACACTTCAGAGGGTGAGGAAGCAGAGAACCAGCAGATCTTTAGAAATAAAAATCTTCTCAATCCTGGTTGAAATACAACCTCATGTGGGAGAGGGAGCAAAACAGTAAAGGTAAAGAAAATTGCATGGCCAAGAGACCAAAAGAATAATCTATAGAAAAAAAAAAGCAAGGAGAGGTCATAGGAATATATTTTTCAACAGATATGACAAAAATGTCAGGTTCAGGGATGAGTAAAAGACAGGAATAGATTATTTGAAGAAAAAAAACAGAATTAAAAGGGCTTGTAAATATTAAATTTTATTATGCAAGGTAAAACACATATGCACACTGGTCCTCCACTCAGGGATGGCATTGATGCCTCACCTTCCTGACTGGGTTTTCCATGAGCACTTCTTTTCCAAATGTCTCAGGTTAAGGCCTTCAAGATTCCTCTGCAAACAGTGTGGTTGTTTATATTGAAAAACCACAAACATGCCAGTGCTCTGTAAACCCATAATCCCACTTGAAAAGCTGCAATCTGAAATGGCCACAGTTTTGATGCTGTATAGTGGTAGGCCAATGGCAAGTTAAAAAGTAGGAAAAAAAAATGTCCAACTGGAGAAGAGCTAAATTAAAGGAAACATGCAGAATAGGGAGTAGAGCAAGTCAGCCTACTACACCTTCCTTGTACAGCATCATGGCAAACGCTCTCAGTGTTGTGCCTCTCTGGCATGTGGTTTTAGAAAGTCATTAGGGTGTTCTGGGTAATGATTAGCCAATTATCTGAGGCACAGAAGCCCAATCCTTCCACCAATTGGTGGGACTTCTAGTCATTAAAATAAAGAAACAAAAGTGTGTACAGTAGATGAAAAGAAGCAGGGTAAGATGGCTGAAGCTGGTTCTAGTTGAGTTTCTAAAAATTCAGATGAAAACTTAGCATTAATGCTGTCCTCCAAATTGCCAGTGGGTCGGGTCAGGAATCTAAGGTTGAAAACCTCCCAAGGTGACTCGTAACTGTGGCACAGAAAGGCTAACATTATCGAGGACACCCGTGACAGAAGACACTTCTACATTTAAAATTCGGCTTTGAAATATTCCAACCTTTATCTGTCAGGTGCCTAGAATTTTACTAGACCAGGAACATAATGGTCCCCAGACATAAAAACATCAAAACATGTTTAATAACATCTCTGAAAGCGCCAAGGGCAGCCAAAGGTTAGTCTGTGATAAAAGTCACCTTTTGAAAAGAACAATTCTCAAACACAGAATTTTCCTCACAAAAGAGTATAAATCCTATTACAAGAGCCCAACCTAGATAAAATAGCATTTAGATAAACAGGTACCTACATTTTTTTTCTACCCACAGTGATAATAGCTTTATTCTGCAATTTTGCTGCATGTGTAAAATGCCATGGCTAATAAACTTGCCTCCTTAGAAGGCATATTTTGTCATATTACACTGGGAAGATTTCCAACATAAAAGAAAAATGTCACTTATAACCTAGTACACAAGAAATAATCATAAGGCATTTAATAATACTATAAAAATGAAATTCAAATATTAAAAAAACTAGAAGAAAAATTAACAGCTTACTAGAACATGTAATAAAATATTTTTATAACTTTATATAATTATTTTATATAAATGATTTGTTAAAATAACAAAGAATAGAATTTAAGACCAAAGCCAAAGTTACATAAACATTTACACTCTACATGTCATTGATCATTTTATAGTGACCTCAGAAAGAGACTATTTCTTGAATCTACTTCCTTAATACCAGTTTCACTTGATTCTTATTTTAGCAAGCCAAATTTTAAAGTGTCTTTTAAATTAATTACCATCAGTTATGAGTTAATTAAAATAATCATTAAATTCAAGTGATGAGTAACTACAGCTAAAAATGTTTTTCATTGGTATTACTATTGGTGAACACGTTTCACTCACATTTTACTTCTTTGAATCTCTACGTATCAAAATTTCACAGAAAAGCAATTTCTGAGTTGTTTTTTTTTTTTTTTAAGAATCCTTTGTGTTTACTGACTATAGGACAATATTTTGTCCTGAGATTCTAAAACTTCCCCTATGGGCATGTTGTAAATGGCTAGATAACAGGAAGACAACTACAGGGCTCTTTGGATTTCTTTACATCTAACCATAAGTTTACTACGAAATAGGCACACTAAGGTCTTTTACAGGCCTCGCTTGTAAATAAAAGCACTGTTTATGTATGTTCCCTTTATCAACTGTTCTGGATCCCTTTCCAACATGTAATGGACTAGAAAATGTAATTTGAGTGTGTATCCCTATGCATAGTTACAGTGTGAAATGAAGGAGAAACTGCATTAACAACAAAGACAAAACTAAGACCAAACACAAGATTCATTTTTCTTGCTTTGTTATGCAAAAGTCTAGGTATGCAGCATTCAGGCTGGCCTTAGACTCACTACAATCTTGCCTCAGCATCACAAATGATCACAAATGATGGTACTTATGAGTGGCACCACCACACCCAGTAAATGTATCTAGCCAAATATTTTGTGGATCTCTCTCAAGGTATTACAAAAACCAAAGCAGCTGCTTTTTACTGGTAGAAAACAGTTCTAAGTAAATCATAAACCAACATTTCACTCTGATTTAAGTTCCAGGATTTTTGCTACCATAATCCCAATTGTCATTTAGCCTCATGAAGCATGTAAAGACAACTGCCCTCTTGGATAAGGCTGTAATAAATAGAAACACAAGCCCAATCCCAACAGAAATGACAGGTGTTTACCTGGTCTGAGAGTGTACAGGCCTTTCACAATATTTGCCATAGTTGAAGGTGTGACCTGAAATGGTGTTGACTGGGCTTCTAAAAGTAAAGCTGGAATAAGAAGAAAAAACAGGTAAAAAAAAAAAAAAAAAAAAAGAAAAAAGAAAAAAAAAGAAAAAGGAAAAGAACAAAGAAAAAGAAAAGAAGAAAGAAGAAAAATCAGAAGAGGAAAAAAGAAAGATACACACAAATGAAAAAGAATAAAAGAAAAAAGAAAAAAGCATGTAAAACTTGCTAACAGTAAAAGTTCTATTAGTATTTCTAAGGCTGAATGAGTAAATACAAGAAAAGAGCAGCATAAGACAGAGCGAGAGCTTATACACAAAAGATTACACAAGCCTTCAGCACAGCACTCAATAAAACAAGAGTCTGCACTGGTTTGCTGCAGCAGTAATAAGCAAAGCAGTGAAAAGACGGGAATCTGAGAGAAGTGAAGCCTTCTAAAGCAACAGCTCTAGGGCACTCATGAAGTAACTCAACTTGCCTCCTAAGTGGGAAGAAAATGACACCTGACCCTTCTTTCTTCAAATCACTCTCGTCTAAAATTCTTGGATCACAAGTTGTGAGCATCCCTAAATGCAACAAATCTGAAATGCTCCAATTTCTATCATGCTCAAAGAACTACAGATTTCAGCTGGAAATGGTGGTATATGCCTTTAATGCAGGCCCTCAGGAAACAGAAGTGGGCAGATTTCTCTGAGTTAGAGGTCAGCCATAACTACATACTGAACCCCCTCCCTCTCAAAAACAAAGTAAATTATAAATTTCTGAGCATTCTGGATTTGCAGATTAGGGATACTCAACCAACAGCAATTTTATTAACTGTATCAAAGCCTGCTTTTGCAAATGCCATAGCTCCATCTTCTTGCAAAAATCCTTCCCACACAAAAGGCCAGAGAAGATGACAATTCATCTTTTCTACTTTTCTAACTGTGGCAACAACGAAGCTAACCCTGACTTTTGACTGTGAACAAAGAGTCAGCTTTCTTTTATATTACCTACTACATTTCCTCCATATTTAAAACAAGTAATTTCTTCAATAATCCTTCTAGATTGTATAATTAACAGACACTAATAACTATTTATTGAACAGAGCAAGTGCTATTGCCCTAAAACAGTTAATTTCTAATCTCTCAAAGATTAAAAAAAACAAAACAAAAAACAAAAAGCAAAAGACAAAAATCCAAAATACCCAATATCTTACTATTCAAACCAAAAGAGAGGAAAGGGAGGAAAAAGAAAGGAAGAAGAAAACTAAATAGTGGAGTTTTATATAAACCAGATTTGTAGTTAACTGTTTTCCTTTATCCATGTCTTTTTAAAATGAAAGTATCTTCTTCCTTCAAGGATTTGGTAACTTCAGACATAGGAACTTCCATAGGACTTTACTAACGAATGTCAGAGGTTGCTTTGTTTATTCTTCCCATCTCATCGTCCACAACAAATTTAATTTTAAAGATGATAAATGGAAACTTACAAGTCATGATACTCTAAAACATAATGTTTAAAAACTGAATTTCTAGATGAATTTCTATATTCTGAAAGCCTTAGGTATTCAGCATGGACCCCCAATGTAAGTGCTCATTTTATCCTATTTTTTTTTTTGACCAATGCCTGAGGCCTTCATGCTCAACTACATACTCAAACTGTGACTAACTGCCAATAGCCCCTACCATGATTTCTATGTCAACCTGACAGCTATGAAAAACCAGCAAATTTTAAAGACATGTGACTTATGAGATGGATATAAACAATTTGGGATGAACTAACTGTAAATAATTATTTTCAAGAATAAATATTATTAGAAGCTGAGATGTAGCTCAGGTTGATAGTGTTTACCTACCTACCTATCATGTACAAAGTCCTGGATCTGATCCCCAGCACCACAGAAACCAGGAAGGTGAAAAGAAGATCAGAAGTTCAAAGTTATCTTTAAGAGTTTTGAACCAGTCTGAGCTATAAGACTCCAGCTCAGTAAACATGTAAAGAAAGGATTATTAAGAGTTGATAAGGTATTTTAATAACTTGCTAACACCCCTTCTTCTCTAAACTCTTTGGATAAAGTATTTAAATTTAAAGGATTTTCCAGCTTTTTTCCCCTAAGGAACTGGGACTTGGTGGGGATGCAATGGGTATGTGTTTGGTGGTTACTGAACCCAGTAAGGGCTGGCCTTTGTCATCTTTATTTGCAAACTAGATCATGAGCAGCAGCCGCTACCCTTACACTACACAACACACAACACACAACACACAACACACACACACACGTCCCTATCTAAAATCACAGAGCTACCTGATGGCAGAAGAGGCTGTAAGACATGTACTCCCTATAACCCCTGAACATGCTCCTCCTTCAAACACGGACTAGTACTAAAAAGTGTCATCTTAGTAACAGGTTTCTTCTGAAAGCCATGTATTGAAGAACAGTGTCCTTCAACAAGCCTGTACATCAATCATAGGGTAATTAAGCCTGAGGGTTGATGTCTAGTCCTAATCTCTATGTTATGACATTAAAGTCTTAAGTATCTTGGTGGATCCTGAACTCCTCTGATGTTTCAAATGTTCCTTGGTGCTATGATGTTTCACAGGCTTTCTTTTTTTAAATTCTCATTACATTTATTTAGTGTGTGTGTGTATGCTGCACATATATGCATCAATGCAACACTGCATATGTGGAAGGTCAGAAGACAACTTGCAAGAGCCACTTCTTTCCATTTACTCTACAACAACCTGACATATTTAAACCATCTTACTGTCTTCATTATTCAAGGTATCCTTTCAGTAATCTGGTCTGGAAATGAAAACTAAAAGAATTCAAATAATGCCAAACTACAAGGGTTTAAAACTAAGAAAATTTAAGTACAGTTATTTGACCCTGCAAAGTAAACTCTATCTTTAACTGTAAAAGTGAACATATTATACTTTCTCTGAAAATGTCCAACCTAATTGCTATATATTGATTGTCACATCTGCTCAATACAACACCAGGCAATATTTTAATTAATGTAAAACCTCCTAGCTATGCTTTCAGTTTAATTCAAGGTAAAAACTAATTTGTAGGTTAAGTAATTTTGTTACCAGTCAAAACCTTAAATCAGTTTATTTTCTAAGGACATGTGAGCATGCAGAGCACTGAGGGAAAACTAGCTTCACCTACAACCGATATATTCACAAAACATTAATTCATACACATGAGGGCATTGAGAATCAATTTGGTTTTGACATACAAGATCATTTTGCCTTGGCTTACTAAGTTTAAGATATGGACACCAGATTAGTTTGAAACACAAGAAATTTGGGTCCATGATCTACCCCAGGAGCCTAGGTTCTGTGACGGGTTATCCAATAGAATGCAGAAAATTTTTTCTGAGTCTAGGACTTTAGACATTTATAATTTCCAAGTTGCTACTTTCTGAATCTTGGAACACTCACTGTTAGAGAAAACAAAAAACCACACTAATGTCTGAATCATGTAAGCCACCAATAGAAAGCCCCAGTTGGGTCACATCAGCCTAAGCCCCTCCAGACTGCACAGCAAACTAAGATGCTGCTGGCTGAAGCCACTGTTTCAGAATGATAGTTTAAAGATCCTTGTGATGATCACCTGTGTAACTGTTAAAACATTTATAGGGCTTGCTCTCCTGGGACCCAAACCAGTGTGACTAGCAGTCACTTTCTGTATCTTGCACCATAAGTATAATACCTAGTAACTGTTCAATAAATATCTAATAGGTTTAGTTTTACCCAACTTATAAAAACTTAAGGGTTTTTTCCATTTGCTGGGAAAAGGATATATCTGCCTTTAAATATCAATTTCATGAGAAACCGAGACTGGGAAGTACTCTTACCAATCTAAGTACAATATTCTCTTCAATATTCTTCACGTGTCCAATAAATTTGACTTCCAAATTATTAGCAGTATAAGACATATTTAGAAAGGAAATACATATTTCTACCAGAAGTAGTATTTCTCTATGTAATTTTAACAAAGAAGAAAATGTACTTTAGGAAGCTAAAAACAATGTCAGTATCCAGTGCTATAACCAATGGCTAGAAGCTGTTGCAGTAGTATACCTCTACAGTCTAGCACTTTGGAGGCTCAGGCAGGAGGATTTCTTAAACTTCCATGCCAGCCTGGGTTATAGAGCAAGACCATCTCTCAAAACCAAAACAAGTAGAATATCTCAGAATTCATGTACAAAAATCTTATATAAGTATCTGACCAGTCTTAAAAATAATGCATGTTATAAATCCAAGCTTATGGTTCTCCTATTTTGGACCCTGGACTCTCTGGGAGTATGATTTCAACTAAAACTACATTATTGTGTGAAAACTGTGCCTTGCAAAAGTGGCCTGGCCCAGTACATAAATCCCAGTCTTCATTTAAAAGCAAAAGTGAAAATAATTACTTTGTAAAATTTCAGTAAAATTTCTGTGTGGCAGTAATCAATTACAACTGAAAGTCTTCAAAAAAATATAAACTATAATCCACATTAGTTACAGAATACTAAAGAATGCCTTGCTGAATACTGACGAAAATATGAGCTTTTGAAGGTGCTGAGTGACTAACGATGGTTTGCTTGGTATCCACTCAGGAGAGGGAAACTCCCTTAAAGAGGAAATGATGTCACATATGTTAGCCAGGGACTGGGAAAGACTGACTGAGCTTGGAACATGGATCTTAATTAGCTATCTAAACAGCCACAGTAAATATTTTACAAATACTAATCCACAGGAAGCTAGCAGCTTGATAACTAAGCCATGGTGAACAGCAGACACACTAGACTAACAGTAGAAACCAAAGAGAGCCTGTGCTCGCCTTCACAGACACCCAGTGCTCTTTCAGAAGTCACTGGTGACACATGACCCTCCTAATCATACTCCTGCTCAAGGAAGAAATAGCAACACAGAACAGGCCAAGTACAAGACACCGCCCAATAAATGACCTAAGTGGCCCAGAAAGGTAGGTGACTTTTAAGCCAGTTTCTCTCTATATAGACTGAGGTAGACTTAACAACTTCCTGCTCTCTAGCTCTAGAGATGTCAATATTGGAGTTTAGAGACAGTGTTCTCAGATGAAAGGAAAGAGTAAGAGCTAGAGAAGGAAGGGAAAAAGAAAAAAGGAGACAATGGCTAGTGCTGTCTCACCCCCACAGAAAGCAAAAGTATACTTACGCATTAGGCTGTAAATGTGCTTCTCTGCAACATGTTCCGTAAACAGTTTTATAAGGTCATCTTTTAAGTCTCTGTTAAGCTTAGTTTCTATGTAAAACTTATTCTGAAAAAAAAAGTAAATAAGTTTTTATACATCAATAGGGGAAAGTAATCACTCCCATGAATAGGAGAACTAAATACAGTTTTAAGGAATGATTAATAAATGTATTGATTAATAAAATAATAAAGCCCAGCAAACAACAAAACCCAGACATTCCTAGTCACAGGTCTTTTTGGCATGAGGTTGGAAAATCCAAATATTAACTTCACAATAATATGTAAACAGTACAGAGCCACACTGTGTGCCATGTCTTTAAGAGTTCATCACCAGGGCTGGAGAAATGGCTCAGAGGTTAAGAGCACTAACTGCTTTTCTAAAGGTCCTGAATCCAATTCATAGCAATTGCATGGTGGCTCATAACCATTTATAATGAGATCTGGTGCCCTCTTCTGGTCTGCAGGCACACACATAGGCATAACATTGTATACAACATAAATAAATAAATCTTTAAAAACAAAAACAAGCTCATCACCAGCATCAAAAGGCAATGCTGGGAGACTCAAGAAAGGTACCCCTCAGCATCCAAAGCTTAGGGCAGGCAGGTAGTGGCTTATTTGTTACAGTAATGGCCATTGTAACAAATTCTAGATATCATCTCTGCTCAGAGACAGATACCCTTATCAGGCTGAGAACAGTGATTGAAGGAAAAGTTCTTCACTTATATCCAATAAAAGATAACTATATGGTGTACAGCAAGGAATAAAACAGAAACCCTGACACCAACATCCCTGGGATCTGCCTACTCTCAAGGTCTGTTACAAGATGGACTGTCATTCCTTATTTACCGGAGTAGCTTTGAATCAAGTTTTCTTTCTTACCAAAATCCACCTGACTAAGAAAACACAAAGAAAAATCTGAAACTGTTAAATATGTTCATGTTTTGAATGCTAGCTAAATGATAAAGAGTAGAAAACACAAAGGGAATGAAAACAAATTTTTCACTCACTCTTAGTTCAGAAGTATTTTCCTCTCTGTTTAAAAAAAGGGGGGAAACTAAAAATAAGATGCACATACTTGGTTAAAAATTACAGCTATGCTAGTGGGTGAGTAATCAAAAGCCTTCACAAGCTGATCCTGTGTTTTAGCTTTATGGGTCCCATTCTACAGAGAAAATGACATGGTCCACCTGTTTTGAAACACTCTTTCCATGAGAACCACTCCTCTCCCCACTGAGTACACACTGCTTGTACCTTGGTACCTGGCACTTTTACCCTAATGTTAGGACCTAGGAGACTTTTCTCCACAAAAATATAGAAACATGCCACTGTATTAACTGTATATTTTCTTGTTTTCCATAATTGTTAAAACAATCCCCAACTGATGACAATATGTATTATGTAATATGACATAATTATGTATTATTGACATAATATGACAATTATGTATTATGTATATATACATATACATATATATATAGAGAGAGATACATACATACATTTAGTGTGTTTATATCTATTTATGAATGATAAATTTTATACATAAAATTTGAGTCTTTCAAGACAATTTTAGGAATTCATTCTACTCTAAATTATAGGTCTGTTTCTTTTACAGATTCATCAAAAGTATTTCTAAACATGTTTCAAAAAGTAATTTAAATGTAATTTTAAGTTATATTTAACAGTGCCTTTTGATATTTTTTCCTTTTTTATGCTATTTATTTTCTGTGAACTACCTAATTCATATCAGACAAAAGCATAATATTGCTGACTTTTTCTAATTAATCTACAAAAATTAATTATCAAAGACAATAAACCTGTGTCTAGTGTTTTACAAACTTCCTACAATGTTCCCATCTGCTTTTGTTTTGGGTATTTTTCTGAACGAATGTGTTTCAAGCTTTCATCATCTAATCCTCTCCTTCCTGACAGGATTTAAAAGGTTTCCTCTCAGCAAGTATGTAGGAATGGGACCTGTGGGGATATTGGAGAGGTGGGGGGAGGAGCACAAAAGAAGAAAGGGCTAGAGAAAAACATAAGCATGTACTATGTACATGTATGAAACTGTTAAAGAACAAATTTAATAAAAGAAAATTGTGGGAAAGATGGAGAAGAAATGCCCTTCTAGCTTTCTCACCTCCAATTTCTGGCTTATTCTACTTAGATGTGCTATAAGAATAAGGTGGTAATTAGACTCCATACTCATAAACACACCCATCTGTAATCTGACTCAGGAATGGAAACAGAAATTACAAAATATAGTAAATGAAAACAGAACACAATTAACCTTTCATGGTTTGGGAAAGGGAGACAGAGCTCTAACTTACCATATATATGAAAAGAGGCACGATGCTCTGCAATGCTCCCATATACTGTCCCAGAGCTATATTAAATCTTTCAATATAGAGGTCTGGAGGGCTGGCCTGTGAGAAAGAATATCAGCATAAGTACTCTGGGAAACTAGGTGGAAGTCCTTCTTCAACCCCTGCGATACAAACCAACTCAGAAAGAATCTAAGATGGGGGAGGTAAGTCAGTTCAGATTTCTTTGTTCCAAAGTCTATTATATGACACTTCATTTTAGTCACTTTTTAAAACTGCATGGCTTTAACCTATTAGCTAAAAAGTATGATTTTATTAAATCACCACTGAATTAGATATTTCTTAAAGGAATCAAACTATATAAGGACCTGGAATTAGGGGGGAGAGAATTCAAGCAAGTAAAACAGGCACTAGATACTACCAGAGGGGCTGAATTAATGCCAAACAGTTAAGCACACTTGCTGCTCTTACAAAAGAACCCAGGTTCAGCTCCCAACACCCAAATGGTAGCTTATAACCACCTATACCTTTGATTCTAGGGAATCCAACACCATCGTCTGGCCTCCACGAGCACTATATCATGTAGTGTACAAACATACAATGAAGTAAAACACTGACATGTATAAAATAAAATAAACCAATATTTTAAGACACTATTAGAGTGGCTAATACATTTTTAAATTTTATCTCCATTGTAAACAGCTTCTCTAGTTAACCAACTGTCAACAAGAGAAGGACTCAAATGATTCACATATGCCTGCAGGTCTAGACTGAAGTACAGTATAATACACACCTAACTTACTCCTACAAAATACTAAATCACAAAGTCACTAAGGAACCTCTCTAAATTTACTGTATATTGATTGAACATGTTTTGTCTCCCAGTACAGCTATATCTGAAAAAAGGAAATAATTAAAATTCCATTAAGTCATAAGGGCACAGTCCTCATCCTACAAGACCATGCTCTTAAAGAGGCAACAAAGGGTTTCTAAATCTTTGCTATCAAAATGTGGCAGGGAGATGTTTCATCTGCAAGCCAGGAGGAGTCTTCACCAGGTACCCTTAAGCCAGAACCTCAATCTGGAAACTTCTCAACTTCCAAACCACTATAAGAAATAATTTAAATTGCCCAGTCTATAGTATTTTGTTATAGTTCTGTAAGTTAAGATGTTATGTTTTACAAAACTATATCTATGCACTATTTGATTAAGTTAATTTAACATTAGAGAAGCCTAAATAAAACAGATTAAAATTATTAATTAAATTTAAAAAGATTAGGGGGCTGGAGAGATGGTTCAGAGGTTAAAAGCACTGGCTGCTCTTCCAGAGGTCCTGAGTTCGATTCCCGGCAACCACATGGTGACCCATAACTACCTATAATAAGATCTGGTGCCCTCTTCTGGTGTGTAGGCATATACACACAGGCAGAACTCTATACATAATAAATAAATAAATAAATAAATAAATAAATAAATAAATAAATCTTTAAAAATATTAAAATATTAGCAAATGATAAGATACATGTATTCAACTAAAAATTCCTGAGACACAGTGCTGAGGCATGGGAATGTATAAAATATAAAAGCAAAACACATTCCACATAAGGTCTGTCCTTTGGAAACTTCATCATCTGACAACCAGACCTTAAAGACAACATCATGAGGGGGCTGGAGAGATGGCTCAGTGGTTAAGAGCATTGATTGTACTTCCAGAGGTCCTGAGTTCAAATCCCAGCAACCACATGGTGGCTCACAACTATCTGTAATGAGATCTGATGCCCTCTTCTGGTGTGTTTGAAGACAGCTACAGTGTATTCATATATAATAATAAATAAATAAATCTTTAAAAAAAAAAGACAACATCATGCTTTTAACTTCTGCCACATTAAGACTCCTAAGTACCAAGTTCAACCGCATGAAACTAGGGGGCTGGAGAAATGGCTCAGTGTCTAAGAGTGCTTGCTGTTCTTCCAGAATACCTAGGTTTGGACCCCAGAACCCTTTTCAAGCAGCTCACAACCTGTAATTCCAGAACCAAAGTTCTCAGCCCTCTACTAGCCTCTTCAGGCACCCATCCACACACACACATGCTGAGACACACATAAAATAAATGAAATTATAGGAACTGTGTCTAAAGCTATTTTAGACTTGTTGAATGTTCTAATACTCTAAAGGAGTCACCTCATTATGCTTTGACTTCTACCTAGAAGCCTGAATATATGCTGGGAACTATCTCTACTTCATGTCTCATTACAGAGTACTTAAAGGTTTGGTATTTATCTTTCCATTTCTTTTCCTAGTCCTCCTTAACTACCTATGGAATAAAGGTTGTCTCTACCATACATACATAAGAAGGAAACAGCTCAGAAATATTTAACCATTTGAGTGTGATCCCAAGCTAATAAGCACTAAGACTCAATCAGATTCTGGCAACTAAAGTTATTCTGTACCTAAAGTCCCTTCCTAGTATTCAGAAATACCCACTACCATCTTTATTCTTAAGTTCAGACTTCTCAATTTAGGGCACATTGTCTACTTTTCTGATTCCACAGCCTACACCTTCTTACACACAGCCCAGCTCAGCACATGGACCAACTAGGCAATCCCAAGTAGTATCAGTGTTGTTTTGTCTGCCCAAACATCTCTCTCTCCACCTCTTAGACTTGCTCTATTTCTTCAAGATTTGTCACCTTCTCAAAACATCTGAGTTCCATGCCCCTTCAGTGGAGCAAACCACTTACTGCTCCTACTGAGTAATCTCTGCTACTAACCACAAGCCCCTGAGGCAAGAATCTGTACCTTGCCGGGCGGTGGTGGCGCACGCCTTTAATCCCAGCACTTGGGAGGCAGAGGCAGGCGGATTTCTGAGTTCGAGAGTTCGAGGCTATCCTGGTCTACAGAGTGAGTTCAGGACAGCCAGGGATACTCAGAGAAACCCTGTCTCGAAAAACCAAAAAAAAAAAAAAAGAATCTGTACCTTACCTGCTCTTCTCCAGTCTAACCAGAATCCTTAGAACACAGGAAACAGGGAGAGGTATATTTTTCAAAAGCAGGGTCTTTTAAAATCTAAACTTTATATCTAAATCTAACTCAGCACTGTTTAAATCTACATTTCTACTTTAGTATTAACAAGGTTCTATGGTGCTGAGTAACAACTAATTCATCACTTTGAATTTCAATTTCCATACTAAGGAGCAATACTCACATTACCCTATTTCTAAGTATGTGGCAAAAATCAGAGAAAATCTGGAACTGCTTTGAAAAAGACACATACTGTATACATGAGTAAGGGTGCACAGCAGCCATGTGCCTAACACTTAGAAAAACCCATTAATATTTTTAAAAAGCAATCTTCTTCAACCAGAGAACTTGGGAGAAAAAGTTTGCATTACAGGCAAGCCTAACCACCCTTAATGAACAGACTGGCATACACCATCTTCCTCAAAGCAGCTTCAAAGAACTCAGGAAATGATATTCAGCACTCAAAGAAGTAAATTCTACCCATATAGAAGAAAAAAAATTGAAAAGCTGTTACATTAAAATACTTTTTCATTTTCATGAAAGGACACTTCGTCTAAGTGTTAAAAAAAAAAACATGAACACTGATCAAAAGGCACATTTAACAGCAGAGAGAATAAATACAATTGAACTCCTTATTCCTTTACAAAAGTCCCCAAGCCTCAAAGGTTAGGAGTATTAAAAAGAACTTTTTGTGCTAAATCAAATGTCAGAACACTTAACTTTTTTACTTCCACATTTCATGCAGCACTTACTCAAAACCTTTGAAATGACAAGACTATAAATTATGACAGTCTGAGAAAAATAAACTCCATCTATTCCAGGAACCTAGAAATAAATGTCACTTTGAAAATCCTAATCAAACTGTTCCTCTTTAAAACTTACATCCAATAAACTGTGGTCCCCACTGGGAAAAATGATACCTAGTTGAGTTCCACTATTCCAAAATGATATTATTTGGCTTAAACATTAATTGGAAAAAAATCCATCATATCAAACAGGAAGAAACAAGCTGCAGGAAAAAATAATCATTCTAAATTTCTTGTAATCTTTAAGGGAGGTAGTACAGGTACTTTAGAGAGAACATACAACCACACCCTTAGCCCCCTCCTGATTCAGTTTAAAATTTTAGTCAGTTCAAATGGGTTTAGTGTTTTACTTTAACTTTCTACTCCCTGAAACCACCACTTAATTATTTTCTATCCTTCCAAAATCTGTAATTTATCTTGGAGTAAATTTTATTCTATTGCATCTTAAACATTTTGGCCTCAGGAACCACTTGCACTATTTAAAATAACTGAAGATGAGGCTGAAGAGATGGCTCAGTAGTTAAGAGCACCTACTGCTTTGGTAGAGAACCCAGGATTGGTTTCTAGCTCATGCATGACAGTTCACAGATGCTGTCTTCTTGCTGCCATAGGGTCCTGTACCCATATGGAGCACATAAACTCATGTGAATGCACAAATACACATGAACATAATAAATGATAAATCTTTAAGCCTGAAAGCTCTAAAAAGCCTTTAATTTTATGTGGGCTACAGCAAATATTTTTCTATCTGGAATTAGTAAAGGTTCAGTGAAAAGCACATGTAGTCCCAAGGAGACTGAGAACAGCCTGGGCAACAAGTGAGAATGCATAGTACAAAAACGAATAACACTGGACTGTATCAACAAGGTACTCTCTGGGGACACTCCACCTCTTAGCCCAGAAAGCAAGGTTTATTTAGTAAACATTATACTACTACTCATCAAGTCATAAACAATCCCTAAAGCCATTTTTAAGATGAGTGACTTGATTAGCAATGGTGTTTAGATAAACATACTAGCTCCCAACAAAATCGACTCTGTTGCCAAGCTCAAAGCTGGGCAAATGGAGTTTGTCATTTGCTGATTAAAGAACTGTGAAAAGTTAAAGCCCACAAATAAAAAGTTCAGCACCTACTAGTACCCTTGGGTATTGCCCAAGTAGGAAATGAAAATCACTGTGACTGAAACACAGCAGGAAATATTCATTTGTGCAAACATGAAGAGTGTGCAGGAAAAGACCACATTAGGCACAATGAGCTTCCAGGCATTGCAGACT